GGCGTTGGATTGGGATAAGGGGGACATCTATGAGGCTGGCACTCGGAGGTGATCAACATAAAGCGATATAAAACATTCGTCAGCTTCAAGATTTTTAATTTATCACAGGGTTTTTGCCGTATGCACCTGTTTTAACCATGTGTAGCAGAGTCTACTGTATAAGCTTAAATCTTACATAGGGATTGTAGCAGGTCAAAGGATCAAAAAAACACTGTAAAGTTGTCCATAATGATAAATAGAACAAAATGACAAAGACATGCTGTAATGTGTAGACAATTATCAATAGTTAAATCACAAATTTGAATAATTTTAAAATGTGTTGCTTGGATTAGGAAAATATAAGATGCACATTCAAGAATATAGCTAAGGCGTACCTAACTTTTCTGGACAAAATAGACCACAACTTGCAATCTCCATCTTTTGCACACTTGTAGGAAAGAGTCCCGTGAATCACTATTTGATGCTTTGGGCTGAGTGCTGAGAGCTGATTGGCTGAGTGAAGGTGGTCCTCTCTTCCTCATCTCTAAAATAGCTAATCCAAAAATAAGGTCAACAATGCGTGCATGTATATAAATAGAGATGACTTATACTTACTTAAACTAGAGACAGAGCCAAACTGTTTGGATAGATACAAAATAGTCATACGGATTTGATTGCGGTTGAAAGATAGGCACCAGATTTAAGATCAATTTCAAAAGATTGTATAGAATTGTCTTGATATATGTGCGCAACAAGCATCTAAAATTCCTTGAGCTTGTACGTCTATAGCCACAGAGAGTCGTAAATACTTGGTAAAAAAATATGTTTGTCCAACAATGTGCTGTTTTGGATTACACTGTTGGACAGAGCGGGCACATTTTTACAAGTGTGACACTGAATGTTTTATGCATTTCGTTGCAGGTTGCAGCCTCTGAGCACTGGTACAAGGGTTTGGCAGATCCGTCCGTGGGAGAAGAGCTCCATTAAGGCTGGCACTTAGCGGGGTGAAGAGAGCCGCGAGAAAACATTGCGTAAACTGTTAATTCCCTGCTAGGTCTTCATTAGAGAAAAATATGGATTACCCGAGTCTGTCTCTAAACCCTCGCAAAAGGAAAGCAATACATCCCAGTTGAGTTTTGTTCTCTTTTCAGACTAATCAACTATGTCTAATGATCGTGTGGTTACGAAGGATCAATGTTACTATGTTTGAACCTATAATTAGATTTGTTACATAAGCTACGATATTACGAATGCTGTTCACAAGATTAGGAGATTGACTTTCAATGTAGCTTGCTGTGCCATTGTGCGGACAGTTGAGGACACCTGTCAAAGTTTGGAATATCTCAAATAAATTGAGAGCGACAGGTAGTAAACGTGAAAGTAAGTGCTCCAATAAAAGCCAGAGCCAGAGTTGTTTAGTCTTTAATCTATTGCCAAAAATCAATTTTTACTATGGGTTTTATGGGATTAAATAGCGGCTGTGATAAAGTTTACAATGCGGTGGGCAGACAGTGGCTGCAGCAGCGAGGTGACCCCAATCATATCCAGGGCCCTGTTGGTCTATGGGCGTCTTCAAATGGGGCAATATTTTCTCCTTTTTCATAGCTCTTTCTTAACTTCAAACAGAAAGTGATGCTGCTTGTTCTGCCTGTCCTTCAGCAAAGGGCATTTCACTTTCTGATTTCTAATAATACAATGGTGACTTTTTTTTACATATTCCATCTGAAAAGGTTAGTCAAACAATACTGCCAACCCATTTCGGAAATTGCATTTTTAATTTACAGTAGAAGTGCAGGTATCGACATCCAAACAGACAACATTGGAGGTTATACAGTGCATCGCGTTATAACTGCATCTGCTATTTCTGCGTTTGGAAAAAGGCCAAGATGTTATTCATGTAAGCTAGATGCGTTTCCTCCCACTTATTATTTTTAGCATCTGGACTTCATGCCAACCATGTCTTCACACCACACCAAGAATACATTTATGCAACGATCCATAGTACAAGTACAGTTAAGAAAGTTTTATGTTTGCATATCAGATCTTGTAAAGTTAAGAAAAAAAAAAAAAACATCTGAATCTTTTTAACAGTACGATTATAAAGCTGTCTCAGTGCTGGATTATTATTGTTGTGATTATTTTCATGTTGCGTACAACTCCAGGCAGAGGTATTTGTTCCTCATTATCATCAGCAGTTTGAACTAAATACCAAACAATATTGTCTGATTACGGACATTTTCCTGTGTGGAGTTTGTATATTCTCCCCGTGTCTGCGTAGGTTTCCTCCAGGTGCTCCGGTTTCCACTACCACAAAAAAACATTATAGGCCTGAACATAAACAGAGAGTCAATGGATGGTGAAGGTCGGAGGCTTTGATGTACCAGTGTGTTGGGTGTCTTGCTTCTGTTTTCGGTGTGTGTGGAGTGGATGGAAAATATCGGTATTCCAAAGCATTGAAAAACGCTTTGAGTGTCCTTGGTCTGTGACATATGCTAAATTAATAAATATTACTTAGTTACAACTAAATCTGTATGTGTGCATTACGTTCAGGTCCATATAGCGGAGCGGCTAATATGTGTATTTTTTATTGTGGTAGAATTGTCAGAGCATAGTTTATGGACTTGGATGAGTACCGGTGTTCTGCCGAGTTGTGCCGCTCAGCTGTTAATGAAGTAATGCAAACCTGCGCATGCAGCCGAAGCAAACCAAGATGGCGGACCGTGAATTGCTTTAGAAGTTAAAATATGAACTCGACAGAACACCGGCATGGAAGCTAATGGTTAAGCTACTGTAGCTGTGAGACACTGCTACATGCTACAACAAGAAAACCTGTGGCTTGTATTCAAGTGCAGCCTAAATGTGGACAAAATGTACAGTCTTTTGAAATGTAGCTGCTGTGGCTTATAAGTGTGCCTTATAGTCCTTACAGTTACATTTGTCATAACACAATATGATATGGAAGATCAAAAACTCACAATTTTCGGGGGCTTCCTTAAACCATGTCTCATTCCACATGATCTCTGCTCTTTTGGTGTAAAAACTCTTATATTTTTGTAGCAGTAGAAACAAGTTTTTGACTGCAATTTACGCACAACATGACACCAAACACAGCAGCAAAAATAGATACAATCCAAATCCCAGTGTGGTGCCATTCACGGGTGATTGACCATCATAATAAATCTCTATAGCATGAGCCTCTTATACGTTACTGGCTGGAGTTTAAAGCGCCCAAAGCCTAATTGTACATGCCAGTGCCAGTGTGGACTCTTTCTGCTCATTAAAGAACACAGCTTTGTTCGGTCCAGATGTGCTTGAGCGGGCACGAGTCCGTCAGCTGCTCCTGGATCAGCTGTTTAGACACGAGCACAGAAAGCCGCTGAAGCAGACTTGGAAAAATAGCTGTGAGCTGGGCGAATGTGGGGCGCTGTACTCCATGCATGGGCGCCACAGAGGAGACAAGAACAGCAGTGCCATGGCCACTGGCGGACTAGCACCAAGTGTCAAAACGCTCAGGTTTGATAGTCCTTGATTGGTGCTTCAAAAGTGAGCTGAGTCATAATCGCTGTACGGATCATCACAAAGAAGTGATGGGACTTTGAGGCGAGGATTCACATTAAAATATGATCTGTGTTCTTGTTGATGACGACAGAATATTTTTGCCCGAAAGAGTCGACATTTCCAGCGAACCATCCTCCTTTATATTAAACTTTGATGAAACTTACTTCAACAACCCTTTTTCTCCTCTCAGTACTAATGAATGAAGGTTGCTTCAAGGAATATATCCTCCTGATAATGCTCCATTGAATCTTATCTTTTGAAATGCAAATGACAGAGCCGCGATTAAAACATAATACTTTACAGTGTTACGAAACCTCTTCTGTGAGGACTTTTAAAATAGATATTAATATCCATCTATCTAGTTTTTTATTCTCAAAACAGGTTGGGTCTATCACTAGTTTTCATACGCCTGTATTTTTTGCCTCTGTCAGCATTATCAGACAGGAATGTGAGAACGAGAGGACCACCCTCACTCAGCTCAAAGCAAAATAAAAAAAAAATAATCATAGAAAAAAAATAATACAGATACCTCAGCTTTAACAACTTACTGAGATCACCTGCAGAGAAAATTATGATCTCAATCACACAATTCTCCAACTAAAGATGGGGAAAATGACAGATGTTGTATTTCAACAAACAATTCTGAAAATCTCTCAGACAGATGGACCTTTACTCATGAGAGCAGCCTGCTTTAAGACAACTGTGTGCATTCAAACACAAAATCACAGCATGAAGTGAGCATGCAAGCAAACACACACACACACACACACACACACACACACACGCAGATGGTTCTACCCTCTTGAGACATATAATATCTCTTAATCATTTTAACAGATCGCAATTCTGCTGTATGAGAATGAGCCAAAAGAGAAATGGAAAGTAATTATTGTCTGGAGATGCACACGTTCATTACCAAACTTTATAAATCCTATGTAATTACACTAGAGTTGGAAAAACATGGTAGTACTGGCTGCACCTCACCATCCTGCTCCTGCAACCTATAAATGAGTGCGGCTTCCTTCTACCCCGGAGCACCCTGACAGATCACATCAGTCTGAACATCACTCAGTGCGCCTCTCTATTCGTCAAGTTGGCAAAAACATATGATTTATCCCAGCCATCCCCAGTGCATTTCCCTTCCCTTTCAGTGTCACTAACATGGCTTTATTATGCATAATGTAAAGACATCAACATGTGCCCGCTCAAACTATAGACTAGAGATTAGATATAGATAGATTCTCACACCAAATGAATTAAGGAATCGTACTAGACTTTTTCTTATTTTCTTTTAGACAGCTTTTACTAAGGCTCATTCATTCATACCCATCAATATTTATCATGCACTCCCAGGTTAAGGCATGGCTTCATACATTTTTAATCTTACAAAGCGTCACTGCCAACATGTACATATACCTATTTGTTACCAGAATTTGCCCAACATGAAATGAATGAATACATACGCTGACGATCCTTTCAGAGGTGCCACCTCTGGAGATGCTGGTGCCGTTAAGTCCCACAAGAGATGGAAGCGTCTGGGACATCCAGTTTGTGACCATGGCCATAGTACTCAGCACCGCCCCGATCTTCAGCATGGGGACACTCATGTTGCCTCCTTTTGGGCTCCCCGAGCCCTACCCTGCCCTGTCTTGAACCGGACCCCCCTCAGGTGCCCCTGCAAATCCTACTGGCAAAATAAAATCTGCCTGACCAGCCGTTCTGTGCACCGTTACAAAGCTCATCCACCAAAGGGACAACTAGAAACCGGTGAGAGGAGAATGCTCAAATCCAGCGGCTCCGCGACAGCTTCCCCTCCCATCCCTACCCCACACACACCCCTCTCTCTCTCCCATCCGCTTCCTCAAGATGCAGGGCTGCGCATTGGCTGCCTGTGTGCATCTCTTCCCCTCCCAGTCAGTCACGGCTTCGTTCTCGCTCTTACTTCCTTTGACATTTGCCTGTTTTTTTTGGCTCATTACTCATGTGGTCTGTCAAGGCTGCTACATCAAATGAGACATGTAGATCAAGAGTAGCATGAGGTCATAACAAAGCTATACTATGACATATAGGAGTGTATGTACAGTAAGTCTCTGTGGAAGACTCAAAGTATACATAGAGATCAAATTGTGGCCAGGGGCATTGCGGGAGTTGTGGTCAAAATAGGAGCTCTATTAGTCAAAGGGACTGGGAAAGAGGGGGTCTTGGCAGCTAATCTATCTTTGATTCTGTTTTTAATACAAGATGCCTATAGCTGTTTTCTTCTTTGAACTCCAGGTCTTTCTTTGAACAATGTGTTTCTGCTTTGCTGCTTTACATAAATTTACTGAATAATATCGTTTTTTATCAAGATCCATATTGATATTGAAGAATAGTACTGGCCTATAGCATTTATGTGATGCCATAATCATGCAACTATAATGGATCTCAATGGGCATTCTAGTGAATGCATACACAATCATCTCTACTCTATTATGTATTACTTTTCCCCTTGAAACAACTTTCAACAATGTTTTATAGTGTCATTAAACGGCCAAACCGCAATGCATTATAATGACAGAGTAGCTGCCGAGACAAAATGCCCAGGTCATCTCTCCCCCACTCTGTGCCTCCAGGTCTGCTGACTTATTCACTTTGTCAATGGTGGATGGGGTGCCCGCAGTGGCTGCCACACAGGCTGAGTGATAGGGGCTCCTTGTGTGGGCTGTGTGGTGAACCTCTATGAGAAGAGACAGCTTTTTGTGCCCTATCCACAAACTGTCAGCCTTTCTCAGTTCACCTGTTGGCTTCAGAATAACCACTGTGTGTTATTAAGGGCGCACTGCTCTCTTGTGGTCAACAGGGGAATTGCGCATTTTTATCTTCCCTCTGCACGTGTTTGTTTGTAAACATCCAGTTGAAACTCAGCGGAAAAAAAATTGTATTGATGTATCTAGACTTTATTTGTAATAAAATTGATAACTGGCTCACATTATGTGGAGTGTCAAATAGCGGTGATAATTGTTGTCGTTTTAATTCCATACAAAACAGAAAATGCCATATAAAACAGAATAAAAAACATACAACAAACCCAGTGTGTGACTCCTTCATGGATCTTGCTTTCCTCAATAACTCCAGGTAAATACTGTCCCCCCGGAACACAGTGAGGGCAAACAACGTTCCATGGGTGAATTATGTAAACCCACTACAATATCAAGAAAATCATTTTCAAAATATTCGAAAATCATCAGCAAAATTGTAAAATTAAAAGGCTTTACATATTGTTGAATCTGACCTTTATGTTTGTCCTAAGTCCAAAACATGGAGGCCCACATTAGTACAAGGTCAGATGGTCAGATGCCACAATATGTCACTTGAGCTATAGGTTTCACATTTTGAGTTTTGAACACTATTTTTTACGATGTAGCACTTTTTTGGACTCTTAAATATACACTTCATAATATTCATTCACTTCGTACTCGGTGGTAAGTAACAAACTACAGTAGCCACAGCTGCCCTAGGACAGACTGACAGAAGTGAAGCAGCCAGTGTCATCGGCCCCTCCGATGCACCAGACTCATATAAAGAAATGTGGGTGAAGTAGACACAACAGTTTGGCACTTCACTACTGTGGCACCATAGAGTATCCAGATGTCTCCCATCACGGTCTTAATGTGCTAGTTCTACCTTCGATCACCAGCTAACATACACTCCGTTATTATTACAGATCCATGATTGATTCACAGACATGGATCTATTATAATAGACTCATGAGTGGGAGATTGGAAGAGAAGTGTCTCTTGCTATAGTTTGAAGTTTGCAGTATTCCAGCGGTCTCCCATCCAAGTATAACCCTCGAAAAGGTCAAGAGTTTGATATATAGATAGACACATTTAGTCAAAAAGATAAATAAAACAAGAATCGCAAAAAAGAGGGGAAATGTATGCAATAGTTTCTGTGTCCACGTGGGGGCAGACAAGTGCTACAAATGTCCTCTGCAGAACTGGAGACTGCTCAGCGAAGTAGATTAAAGCGACAGTCAATTAAAACGCTGGTAATTAAAGCAATTAATTATTGATTGAAGAGTGCAACCTTTCTGTGTAAAAGTCTGATTGTGGCCACGCACTGGGATAAATGATTAATAGGAGAAACAGCGGGGTATTTCTACCTTTGTATCAATATGAATCTGACCTTGTGCGCTTAGTTTCGCCAGGTTTTTGAATCCGACGCATTTCTAGTGAAACCAATCCACAAAAAAACCTGAGCAAGAAACAGGAGATAGAAATGTAAAGCCAAACAATGATGGTGCATTATAAAAAAAATAAAATAAATAGCAATGTGCCCTAAAGCCCATGCAGCGATTGTAATGTATGAAAAACGGTCTGTTATAACTTATCTTTACCTGAACTCAGCCTTCCAAGAACGAGCCAAAAAACAAAACTAGAGGGCAACTAAATAAATAGATTAAAACGGTATTTGGTTCAGACAAAAAAAATTACATAATGACGTTTATTTTCCCTTTTTTCATAATCTAACATTCACAGATTATATGACCTGTGCTCAAACATGTACTTCTGTAAACTTTTAAAACGTTTTCTATATTTTTGTAATCATTAAGCCTTCTACATTGTCTGTTGTTTTTGGCAGCACATAAGAACTATATGTTCTCAGGTCAAACATCAGGCTTTGTGGAGAGCTGGACATAGGAACACTATAATTGCTGTAGACATTGTGCTGAATCTGCCAGAGCCCGCTGTCTGTGTCCGTCTACTGTCTAATCACTGAGTGTGCTGGCAGAACAAGCTCTCATTAAATATTAGCCAGAGAGGAAGATGAGCATTTAACCTGTATTCATTTAATGCCTTTTGATGAATTTTCACGCCCTTTCCTTGTCCGTTCCATCTTAGTAATTGGCCATAACTCATTTCGTCTGCATCCCTGCTTTATTATTTTCTTCCACTCTCTCACTATATTTTGTTCTCTGGCTTTTATTTAGCCTTCAACTCCCTGCTCCCATGCTGTCTCTTCTGGTCCGCTGCTGGCAATGTGTGGTTGAAAATATCATATCACACATTTCTGTTTCCCCGCATGTGTCCTCTACAATTTTGAGTCTCAAATTCTATTACTGCTCTCATTTTTCCGCTCACATTTGTATGAGCTTGCACCTTAAAGCCAGATTGTACACAGACATGCAGTGCAATGTTTTTTTTTATCCCATTTTTTAACTAGATCTCTGCTCCCTGCCTGTGGGTATGCTCTATAAAGGGCACTTTTAATCAGTTCAAATGGTGAAAATGCCCAGCAACTGTAGAGACGGCAACATTTGTGTACACCCATGGATGGCACTAGAGCTCCACTCAGCCTCAGGCCATAAAGACAAGTACTGATAATCATTCTGGGGTGGCAGCACAGAAAGGCAGACATCCAAGCACTTAATACGTTCAGAATTGTGTAAGAAAACCTTTCCTTCCAACAATTCCATTACAGTAACTTACTTAAAGTTCCTATTTTCATGCATTCAACTCCTCTTTACCCATGTTTCTGGACAACTCTTAATAACTTAATACATGTGAATGACTTGGTCTACTGTGACTTTGAATGTTCTCGGCACAATCTCGCAAAAAGTTAGGGATTATTGACCTTTGGTGGCATTTATAGAAAACCTAAAAAGTCCATGCAAATGAATAATTTTATCATGAAGGTTTGGGGGCCTCTACACAGCGACTCAGCTAGGCCCGTGTTTAATAGTATTCAGATCTGAAGGAAGTGCAGGCAATTTGAGGTAAGCCAGTGTCGGGTAAGAGTACTTATACTTATTGTAGATATTTTTAATGGTAGGGAAAACTGTAGCGCCTGGAGGAAAGCTACCCAGATTTTCAACGGCAAAAACGCTTGTGTGAAATTCAGGAGCTGAAATGGAGTTATCTATGAAGATAAAAGTTGGATGGAGGGAAACAATGACCGGATAAAAACCGGATAAAAACTCACATACAAGTCCAACCTCAGTAGATTTTTTAAAATAAGCTATTTTGAGTTTATTTAGTGTCATGAAAATATTGAAAACTGCAGAAACAAATTGCATGTTACAAAAAATGAACAACCCTCCTGCTCAGTTGCCATCAAAGGTTCACGTCAAAATGAGTTTGCAAATCAGTTCCACAACATCCACCAGCCTCCTAAATTGTTAAGCTAATTCATTTTGCACCTGTAAATGAAAATATTCTTTGCTGACCCAAAGCCCTGAAAACTGTGATAATTAAACAACCTGTTTGATATAATCCAGTCTGGCTTTAGACCCCACTACAGCACAGAGGCATCCCTTACTGATGTATCTCTTACAGAGGCATCCCTTACTGATATATCCCTTACTGATATATCCCTCACTGATGTATCCCTTACTGATGTATCCCTTACTGATGTATCCCTTACTGATGTACATGTATCCCTTACTGATGTATCCCTTACTGATGTATCCCTTACTGAGGCCTCCCTTACTGAGGCATCCCTTACTGAGGCATCCCTTACTGAGGCATCCCTTACTGAGGTGACACACATTCAAAGACTGTAGAAGGAGTGGGCTGACCGACTGCTGACGCCACCCATGTTGATTGCCTTATTGCGGAAGAAGCCG